TGGTGCTGAGGTTCTTCAGGTTTCTGATGTACTTACGTTAGCTGCAATCTTCATTTCATAGCCCTGGCACTTGGAACAATGCTTTGCTTTCTTATTAACGTGTAATTATGGGGTTTGGACATATAGAGGTTGGCATTCCCTATATGATTCATTTCTTTGGTATCCAGCTCTTCTCCTGAGGCACCAGAGACCTGAAGGAGGGAGGGAAAGTCTGCTTGGCCTCTCCTCTGAATTCCAGCCTCACTGTAATTGGGTTTGTGTCGGGATTTTAGTGCTCTGTGTATTTTCCTAAGGCTGACTGGAGTCTTCCATGGCTCGGTGGGGCAGGCCATGGAGGTGCATTACTCACTGATAAATGCTATTGCTGAGCCACGCGTTTCAACCCACGGAAAATCCGAACAGCTCTGAGGAAACCTTTGGTCAGCAGCACCGCTCTGCTGAACTGATCACAGCCCAGGTTTGTTTCTCTCTTCAGTGCTGAATTTCACGTGGCCACCTCTGCCTGGCTTTTGGGTTTCTCACTCCACAGACAGAATGGGTACAGGTCAAAGATGGAGCTGCCAAAACCAAATGTGACATTTTATGCATTTTAAAGAAAACAAGAGAAAAATATATAAATTAGTGTAAAGTCACGTATGCAGAACTCTAAAACCTGTTCCTCTTCATGGGAGGAGATGGTCATCATTCCCAAGGAATTCCAGGAGTTAAGGAGAGGGATTAAAAAAACAAAACAAAAAGAAAAACAACAACAACTCATGTGCCCTCAGAAAGGTGGCACAGCTCAGCTGTGTGGGACATGGGGAGAGACAGGAGACACAGGATGGAAAGGAACCAGGTCATTTGAGTGAGGAAAGATTAGGGAAACCTCCTGTGGTTTTCTGCAAAGTGAAACATCGAGTTCCTCGTGCTCTCCAGCCTGCTTCTGCATCCTTTCACTCCTCTAAGGAGCTGCTCATCTCCCCAGAGCTGGGGGGTTAAACTCTCATGAGGGAGCTCCTAAACAGGAGCAGCATAACAGGGGGTGGTGGCACTGAGGGACAGGATCACCTCTGTGTCCCTGAGAGGGACAGGATCACCTCTGTGTCCTCTGGGAGGGACAGGATCACCTCTGTGTCCCTGAGAGGGACAGGGGATCCCTGACAGCATCACCTCTGTGTCCCTGAGAGGGACAGGATCACCTCTGTGTCCCTGAGAGGGACAGGGGATCCCTGACAGCATCACCTCTGTGTCCCTGAGAGAGACAGGGGATCCCTGACAGCATCACCTCTGTGTGCCTGAGAGGGACAGGATCACCTCTGTGTCCCTGAGAGAGACAGGGGATCCCTGACAGCATCATCTCTGTGTCCTGGGGTTAGTGCTGGGCTTGGGCACTGGGTTTTTATCTTCTGCCTCAAGATCCTGCTTCCCTGAAGGAGACCTTGGCTAAAAGTGTTCCTGGCTGAGCTGTGGTTTACAGTGTTTCCTGTGCTGTTACAGGAGTGTCCTTTGGAAGGTCACCAGCTGCCAGCCTGCCTTCCCCGTCTGCTCCCTCCCACCGTGGGGACTGGCTCCTTCCTCTCTCCAGGTCTCTCCATGGTTTTTTAGCCTGTTCCTTGCACATCCAGCTAGATGGGAGGTGATAGAACACGGAATTGCCAGCTGGAAGGGCAAAGGGGGCTGCAGGTGGGTCAGAAAACCTGCAGAGGGTCACTGCTCTGAGGACTTCCCTAGCCATGGACTGCTTGGTGCCACCTTAGAAATCCTAATTTTCAATTCTGCCTTCTCCAACACGGACTTCCTTTGGACTGGAGAGAAATATTTCATTTACAGGGAGGCTGAGCACTGCCCTGTGCTTGGGTGTCAGCACAACAGGGGGTTTGTGGGTGCAGAGGATGGATGGAGGGAGGAGGGAGGGATGGATGAATGGATGGAGGGATGGATGGATGATGGATGGATATTTCTCTTCTGGGGAACCTGCTTGGCTGGACTTCTGGTTCAGCTGGGAGCGGGGTCAGAACCTCCTTGTGCTTCCTCCCCGTTCCAGCTGCTCATGTCTCCAGGTCCTGCCATGAGCACCCCAGAATTCTCCAGGTCCCAGCTGAGACATCAAAGGGCTGGGTGCTCATTGAGCTGTGGGCTGTGTGTTGGGTGAAGTGCCCTTCTCCCCTGGAACCTGTATCACAAAACATGTTTATATAGATATATATATATATGGAGAAATGCTTCTTCCAGGATGCCCAGGGCAGCCCTTTGGTTCAGCAGTGAGTCCTGGCAGGGGGATGGGAAAGGAGAGAGGCTCTACACAGAATCCCAATTGCAGTGCCTTGGGCTTTGAAACGATGACAGAAAATTTTCCTGCTCACATTTGTTCTCATTTAGCTACAGCTTGTTCACCAGGATGTTTTTCAAGGAGGGTCTGGTCAGTGCTGGCAGAGGAAAGTCTCCAATTTCCCAAGCATGCTTATCACTTTGTCCTTGACAACGATGGGAACTTGCAGCACTTTTTTTCGTGGAGAGGCAAACATGAGCAGTCCTGCCCTTGCAGGCAGCATTGTCCTGCTCTTCCTGTGTGCTGAACCACGCAGGACAGATAAAGTTTCCCCAAAATATTGTTGGCTTTGCAGATGTCAGACCTGGGAAAGTTGGGTGGGAGGGGGAGGAGAATGAATATCTGAACTGCAAACTGAACAAACCTTGTAGCTCAAATGACATGCCTCCCATCCCTTGGGAAATTGTTTTGGTGTAGGATGGACAATACTGAGTTTAATAATGAAGAACAATAATTTTAAATACTGCAAACAACTCTAGGAGGGTTTGTGTCTGGAATAGAGCAGCGTTGGTGGGGTGGGTGGGTCAGAACAGAGGGTAAAACACAGGGCAGTGGTTGATGTTTTCCCTCTGCCCTCCCTTCGTGGGGATTCAGGGATGGTTTGGGCTGCACGACAGGAATCAGGAGCTCATGTTTTAGGAAAGCTGTATATTTCCAAAGCCCAGGATTTTTTAGAAGCTGATATCATTTTACACAGGGATTCAGTGGAGATGACAGAGTGTTTGTAGAGCAGATGGAAACATGCACTGCAAGGATGGTGCTTAAATGTCTGGGCTCTCCGGGAGAGCAAAACCTCCATGCTCCTTGTGCCTTGGACATTTCCTTTGTGCTGCAGAACTCTGATAATTTTATGTGGCTTTTGTTATCTCTGTGTACCATCAGACTGGTTTTATCTGTATTTGATACAGTGCTTGTTCCTTGATAAGGCTGAGAACATAAACACCCTCCATAATGAACATCTGGGACCTGAGGGAACAGCTGGAGCTGTGTCAGGAGAGGATGAGTTTGGATTTCAGGGAAAGGCTCTTCCCCAGAGGTGCTGGCACTGCCCAGGTTCCCCAGGGAATGGGCCCCGAGGCTGCCAGAGCTCCAGGAGCTCGGACAGGGTGGGATTGTTGGGGGTCTGTGCAGGGACAGGAGCTGCACTGGGTGATCCTGGGGGTCCCTTCCAGCTCAGGAGTTTCTGTGATCTGCTCTGGGGAGGTGAATGGTGCAGAAAACTACTCCCATTCAATTCCTGGTGTCACAGGGATGGCAGCAGGGAAGCTGCAAGAGCTAATGTCACACTCTGGCACTACTCTTGTAAGGACAAGGTCTTGTAAGGACAAGGGCTCCTTGTGTCACAGGGAAGTTTGGGAAGCACAAGGAATGCTCTCTCTTCACTGTCATCCCCTTTTCCTTTGTAGAGACATTTGGGAAATCTTTTGTTTGAGGGAATACAGTCAAACCAATAAAGGCCTAATAGTAAAGGCCGTGTCCTGCTGTGGAGCTGTGTTCTTTCCATGTTCTTTAACCCTCTGCCATCATCCAGTCAGGGTTATGATCCAGACATTTGGGCAGGGTATCACTGTGTCTGTGTGTGCTCTGACTTCTGCTCTTGTTGCTCCAGGGCCATTGGACCCAGGGTTCCCCAGGGCAGAGCTGCAGTGCCAGAGCTGCAGTGCCAGTGGGGTACAGAGCCCCCAGGGCACTGCCACTGTCCCCAAGCCCGGCTCAGAGGCAAGCAGGACTTACAGAGACAGGGATCAATAGTGGGCAGAGTGCTGCAAGTGGAAGCAGAGCAAGAGGCTGTGCAGCAGCACTCAGGGCTTGGCTGCTGTCCTCTCCTGCTTGATCATGCACGAAGGAAACCTCTCCTACCTGCGGGGCTGAGGGCAGCCAGACATGGTTTGTGCAGACACCAGAAGCACTGGCTGTGTGTTCCAGGGAAATCAGAGCGTAACAGGCAGTGAGAGGGAAATTTAGTGCCTGAATGTGGCTTTTAATTTTGAGCCATCCCATCAACCACTCTCAGTGTAAGCCTTGTACCAGCTCTGCTTTCCATGACAAAATTAAAGCCATCAATTACAGGAGGTTGAGGATGGCTTGGCTTCAAGTTTTCATTTCTCCTCTCTTAAAACTTGATGTAGGGGAAACTTTGCCCACTTTTGTTTTCCCAGAGGACCTTCTGGGCTGCAGGGAGAGCTGCCAGACCAAGAGTTCCAGGAGGGAACCAGGGCAGGACTTTGTGACCTCAGTGGTTGCGTGGTCAGGACTGCACTGAAGCCTTTGTGAAGATGGTGGATGTGCCTCAGTGAGGATGTCGTGACCAAGTGTTGAGATGCTGTTCCAGGGACTGAAATTCCAGATTTCCAATAGCTTAGGCACTAATTCCCTCACTTTGGCTCAGTGAGGGAATTCACCTCAGCTCTGTGGCTGCCATCATCCTGTACTCCCTGACTTCCCAGACTGATGCTGCTGTTTCAGGCTGTATTTCTTCCTCCACTTCAGGCTGTACTTTCTCCTCCACTCTTGCAGTGGAGCACTGCACTGGATCTGAAGTCTCTGGTGTGGTATCTCCCAGGATTTGGACCTTTCAGTGATGTGAGCACTGGGGGATGCAGCTGGTTCCATTCTGGAGCTTTCAGCAGGAGGGTGGCTGAGCTGGGGTGCTGTGGGCTCGGGTTTCATGTTCCTGTTCCTCTTTCCCCAGAGATCATCGACGACCTCACGAGCCTGGTGGAGAACACGGACGAGCGGCTGCGCAGCCAGACCCGGCACGTGAGGACGGTGGAGAAGAAATCGGCGTCCTGCGGTAGGGAAGGGCTGCAGCACAAATCACTCCATTCCAGGGCTGACAGGGCTAAAGAATAAAGCAGGGATTTATTCAAGGATCTCCTCCATGGATCCACCTTGGGCAGCACCAGAGCCCAGCCAGGGCTGCACCCAAATGACCCAAAATGGTCCCAAAATGCACGAGCGCTCCCGGGGGCTCTCCCTGGGATCAGTTCTGCTCCATTGGCACCTTGGAGTTCATTGTCCCATTCCAGCTTTAGCCCAGGCAGTCCCACCCTGCTTGTTTTTCTCTCTCCAGCCCACGGTGTTTGTGCTCCTGGGCTGAGATTTGGATCATTTGTCCTTGGTGCCCAGCTGGAGCAGGAATTGTTTTGTCTCCCTGCTCTGTGCAGAGAGCTCAGCATCCCCTCATGTGAAGCTCAGAACTGCACACCTAGGCAGCACAGAATGTGAAAAATACAAAAGCTAAAACTTAAGGCATCACAGGGCAGTTCTTCCCTGATGATGTGCAGTTATTAACTGTTGCTAATTGCTGTGCAATGCGCTCCCCCCCGAGGACAGCTTCTTTCAAAGGCACAAACCCCAGCACTCCAAACAGCTCCAGCAGGTCTGACTGCCTGTGCTGAAGGACTGGTGCAGTTAATTTCCTTGAGCCATTTGACTCCAGCCTTGCACAATGTCCTGATTGTACGAGATGGTTTGCAATTAGAGCGGTGCATGTTAATTAGCTTTACACAAACTTGCTACCAGCTCTCACAAAGCTGGCACAGCGGGGAGCGAGGCCGCAGGGGCGTTCCTGGGGTGTCCTGCAGGAATGAGCTCTCAACCCAGCAGCACTCAGAGCCTGCCAGGCACGAAATCCTCCCCGGTGACTCCTGCAGGGATGTGCAGGCTGCTGGAGCTGGACTGGCCTCCCTCTGCAGAGAGCCAAGCTCGGGCTTGGTCTCAGGTTTGGATGAAGGGCTGAGGGGTGGCAGCTCTGGCAGGACAGGAGGCTGTGGGTGGTGGCAGACATCGTGTGGGGAGAGTGACTGACTGAGGGGTGAAGTCCCTGGGGAGGTGGTGGCAGTTCAGTTCTGTGTCCGTGGTTTTTATCCTGCTAGAAAACTCACAGTGCTCTACAGAGTTTTGACTTACGGTCAGAAGTTGTTGAAATTTGGTTTCTGTAGCTCAGGAAAGAGAAAGCCGAGGGCTGATGTGGTCACAGCCTGCTTGTGGCTGGTGGGAGATTTCCTTCTGTGGAGTGAGGTTCTGGCTGCAGGAGCTCCCCAGCTTAGACTGGCAGTGAAGCATCTTTCCAGCACTGACAGTTCCAGGGATTTATTTGGTTCTCCATCAGTGATAACGTTTTGAAAGCTTGGTTGATGGAGGTCGATGAAAACCTGGGGCTTCTTCTGGAGGTTAAAGTTGACTTGTCAGAGTAATTTGTCTCCGAGTTCTCCCGTACCAACTGCAGATGGAATTAAAGGCGTGACTGTAGAGTTCATGACTGACTCTTTTATTTTAGATCTTGAATGTTGATGCAAGATGGATTTAATTTAAAACTACGTGCACTTGAATGATGCTGAGCACCCCTGTGTGCCTTTGGAGTCTCCCCTTAATTCCTGTGACTTTGTTTTCCTCACGAGTCCGGGGCAGCTCAGCGTGATACGGGGGTGGGCAGGGGATCAGTCCCGTGGGGTCCAGGAGGGATTTCTCCCCATTTTTATGTTCCTTGTGCAAGTGCAGCCCCAGACATGTTGCATGATGATAAGGCTGTCACTTTAACTCGGGAAGCCCATCCTGGGTGCCTGGGGAATTTCAGAGGAGGAGGAGGAGGATGGGAGAAGCGAAGGCTGGGAGGATCCTGGCCTGGATTCCTTGGGGGTGACCTCTCTCACCCTTTGCACATTGGAAAACATTTGGCTTTGGTGAGAAGTGCTGCCTCTGGTGCCTGTTCCCTCTGCTCCCATAGGTCTTCCTGTGTTTGCATAACAATTTGGGCATAAGTAAACAGCACATTGCCTCAGATGGCTGCTTCCTCCTGCCCAGGCGTGAGCTCTGGATCAGCAGTGCTGAGGACACAGGCTTTAATGGCATTCCTCCCGTCCCCTTTCCACCTTAGCCCTGGCACTGGGATGAACTGGTGCACTGGGATGAGGAATACCCTCCCTGTACACACGATTATCCCTGGAATGAGGCCAGGCAGCAGGAAGACTGGCACCTGCCAGGGGAGCCCATCAGAGTGCCTGTTCATCGTTTAAACTGATCAAATCTTCAGCAGCTCTTTGGGCTTGGTGTCTTACTCTGGATTTAAAGCAGGGTGAAGTGCTCAGGCCTCCCCCTTGCTCACCCTGTCCTTACCCAGACCCAGTTTCCACTCTGTTCCAGCATGTGGCTGGCAATGTGCTTTTCCCTCCTTTTTGAAATCCTGATGTCTTTTTATTTTCCTGATGAGTGCCTGTGCTGGAGCCACGGGCTGTGGACACAAGCGGAGCACGCTGGCTGGAATAATGGAATAATCCCTGTTTTACAAGCAGGAATGTAATGCATTCATGGGTGTGTCTTTGTTAGCAGCCAGCATAATCATAAAATCAAAGCAGTGCTGGTGAAGCCCAGCTTTAATCAATATTTCAACATCTCCCTCTCATGCAAACCTCGTTTCCAGCTGTGGGGGCCGTCCCAGCGCCCGCTGGCCTTTGGGCTGTGCCCTTGGCATCACCTGCCTGGCCCAGGAGCCGCCCCTGCCCGTCCTCAGGATGGCACAGGTTGTCCTGGCTGGGTTGTTTCACTCACACTTATTTTCAGTGCCGTTTTTCTGGCTGTGCCCAAGCTGCTGACAGCGCCGTGCCCAGGGAAGGCTGTCCTGAATCCCCAGTGGCCTTGGGCAGCCCCTCACTGGTGGCACTGGGAACTCCCAGGGGTTGCAGCGGAAGGAGAACCATGGGATGGACTCCAGCCTGCTGCATTTATGAAATTATTGTTGAAAATCATCAGTCATCCGCAGGCAAATGTTTGCACGCTGCCTGGCATTGTTTTCTCCCTTCCCAGTGAGTGCTGGGCATTAGGAGGGGTGCTGGGACATATAAGTTGCTTAGATTTGAGGAATTTGCACTGAGCTTTCACCAGAGTGCTCACACAGATCATCAGTCAAGTGTCAGGCTGCCTGGACCAGCCTTGCTCCAGGAATGGCTGCCTGCACAGTCCTGACTTTTCAGCCTCACCACTGGTGCTCTTGGGTTGGTTTGTCCTCTCTCTCCCAGTCTGGGCACCTTTAGGGCTTTCTGCAGAGTAACACTCACTAACCATTTCTCAATAACTCCTTTATTAGAGATTTTAACCCTTAGAACAGAACTACATTTAAAATTTTGCAAATAAATTGAAGTGTAATTAATGTAGAGATGCTGGGGTTTGGTGCTTTTGGGTAACTTTCCTCCCATCCTTGAGTTTTGTAGTGGGATTTTTGTTTGGTTATTTTCCATAGAGACACGAGCAGGCAGCTCCCTGCAGAGAGGATGGTTAAGCCAGGCTTTGGCTGTGATAAGAACATCCTCAAGTGTTTGTGTCTGGAGAAGCCAAGGGGATTTTGGTAGCTCCAGGCACAGCTGGCAGCCCTGTTGGCAGATGTGACCTATGCAGAGGTGGTTGCACCTCAGCTGTGCCATGTGTGGAGTCAGAAATGCTCTTCAGGTCCTGCTGAAGAATGAATTTTGGGGAGGGGATCTGGGCATTGCTGGTTCTACTTGGGAAGCCCATCCTGGCTGCCTGGGGAATTACTCCTGGTCCTACCCTGGTTCTCCTGCAGCCGGGGAGAAAAGCTGCTTCTGTTTCCTGGGGAAGCAACACAGAAAATTATGATTTTGGCACAGTAAAAACAGGCAAAAAAAATAGGGAGCTTTCATTTCTGATAGATGAGTCTGTGAGTCTGTGTCCATCCCCTTGTGAGCAGCAGACCACGTTCTCCCTGTGTGCATCCCCCTGCCCTCCCAGCAAAACGAGGAGAATGAGGAGCAGCCACAGCAAATCCCCTGTGGGGCAGGGCTGTGTCCTGCAGAGCAGCCCCGCTGCACAGAGCAGTTTTTCCTCCCTTTTTTCCTCCTGTTCCACAAGATGGCAATGCAATCTAACACCTCCTCAGCCCCAGGTGGAGGCTCTCACTCCCCTCTGCCTCCCTGCTAGCCAGGGCTGGGGGCTGCCAAAGGCAGGGTGTAAACTACATCAGAATAATCTGTACCAGGTGGGTTACTTTTTTTAATCTTACCAAAACACCTGAATTAAAACCAGAGCTTTGCTAAACCCATTAATTGGAGTTTTTGGGAGGTTTGGTTTGTTTTAAAACAGGGTAGCTTGGATTATATAAGGTTTCCTCTAGAAAATAATGATTCATGCAGGCTGGGGCCTTTTCCTGCCAGGTTCTGTGATCTCTCTGTTCTAAGTTTTGCTTATTTGTGCCACGGATTTAATTTGTTTCATAAATGACGATGGCAGCTGCTCAGGTTTGTTCCTCTGATGTATCCTGTGTGTTTAGATGAGCAAGTCCCCATCCATTTGTTTTTTGCTCGGTGGAGAGGAGGGGCTGGTTCAGTTGCCATGAAATCAGCCTTTCCTGCAATCTGACACTGATCTTCCTCCCGGTGCTGCCCTGACAACTGCACTGCTCTGAGTCACCTGTCCAGCCTCTGGTGGGATGAGATTTCTTGGCCTGGCAGCTCAGATCTTCTCCTGAGATGGGGCCCGTGCTGGTGGCAGTGTCCCCAGCCTGGTGCTCACCCCTGCAGTGCCCTCCAGCCAGCTCCTGGCCCTGCTCTGCCTCCTCTTCCTCCTCACACTCACTGTATTCACTCCTGAACTATTTGCTCCTGCTGAGGTGTTGGACTGGATTCTGGCCATGAAAGAGGATGGACCTAAGCAGCCATAATCAGGGTTTTTTTGTAAAAAAAGATGGTTTGGATTTGCTTTCAGACTCCCAGGTGGGAAGCACAGCATGTCCTGCTGCTGTCAGCTCTGTGTGTGCTGAGCAGGAAAAGATGGGACCTTCTG